AACATGAAATGATTGAATGCAATGACGTGGTTTATAACATGCTGACACTGAAATCTGACTGTATCGGATAACATGGTCAATGCAATAGATTCTGACTGTAAGGGATCTACTAATATCCGACGTAACACCACATATGCTAAATGTGAAGTCCCATGTATATGCCCCATCGAGAGGACCCAATATACCCTGCCAGAGGTATAGAGGCATGACTGGCGTGATCACTAAAATGTAATGCCTACATAGGGCACTAATAAACCTACTGGGCACGTTCTGTGAATATTCGGGTACGCTGAACCCTAGTCCACTTGGTATTAAGCTACTCCCAATTGATTATGTATTTAACAATTTATGCCTGATTTTCTGTAATACTGAATAGCTCAAAATACTGATTTTTGCTTGATTTAGGTGAATAATTGATTAGGGTAAGTTCTAATTAGTTTACTAGGCTAAAATTGACCAAAACCACGTAGTTTCGGGACCTTGGTCCAGGGCCGGCAGTGGACCTTGGTCCAGTAGCTACTGATTTCGGGACTCCTTACTATGATCCACTTCACGGACCGTGTGAAGGATCACAGACCGTGAAGGTCTTCGTGGTCCTTCACCTGGGCTAAGGGCTACACTGGCTAGACTACACGGAAGCCACCACGGCTTATCGTCAAGACCACGGCCCATGAGGGTCCCCATGGTCTGATGTCTGATCCCGATGGATTCTGTTTGACTTCCAAGATTACTAGTACGGCTAGTGAGGTGGTCCACAGCTCGTGAAGGGCTCTGTGGTCCACCCCGACTAGAAGGTAATGGAGTCCACGGGCAGGTCAACGGACCGTGGACCCTATCACTGTCCGTGAACCCTACCGTGGTTCACCGATTCTGGTGATTTTCTACTGCATTTTTTAAGTCTGGGTTTCGAGGTGTTACAGTAAGCTTACTCAAATTGATAAATAAATTCAACTAAATAATATTTGCATTTCTTTGATTTCCATGTTAACATTTATTATTTCTAATTAGTTGAACTATTGCAAATAGAACAAAGATTCTGCCATTGAGGTTGAAAGATAGTTGTCTTAATTAGTTTTATTTTACTTAACATTTTATTTTATCATTTGATTTTCCCGGGGGGTTTTGAAGCAAAGGAGACCTCAAATGCTTTCTTTCTGCCACATTGCGTTGTAGTTTTGAAAATCCAGATTGAAGAAAATCAAGAATATATACCACTCGCTTCTCCACCTTTATCCTCTCTTGAATACCTCAGAATTACACTAGCACCCTAACTATAACTACTAACCACCTTCTCGATCAACCTACTACTAGGTTCTTGATCATAGCCTAACCGTTCTAACACATTGAGAAGTCCACCAAATACACTATAAGCATTCCCACTAACCGCTCACGTCATACCCTTACTT